TTCTTTCAGGTATGTATATTCACGCGATGTTCGAAATCTTTGTTTTAAATAACTAATACATTTTGTATCTTTAGGATCGTTATGTTGACGAATCTGGTTCAGCAGAACCACAAATAGACCCCTCTCAAGACTATATACTAATTAAGGGTTATGAAAACGGCACTCACACGGTATTGAGATTTCGCAGAAAACTTGATACTTGTGATAATAAACATGATATTGCAATAAATGTAAGTTCAAATAGCGTTTGATAAATGCAGTAATCCTAAATTAAATTATGTTTAAATTTTAGAATAATACAATGCGCATAATGTTCATGTACTATGATGAAGATCCACCAAGGGGATCTGTTACGCCAACAGCATTGCCAAATCCAGAGGAAGCTTGGCGTCCTTATAGATCTCTGTTGCTGCTACAAAAATCCCCTTTGGACTTATCATTTTCTGATGGATCTGCAAGAATTTTGGAGCTCCGAAATCAGGAAGTTGAATTGCCATACGGCGATGACTCTCAATTTTGGTGTAAAATGTTTAAATTAGACAAATTGGAAAGGAAACATCATATAATTAAAGTAATTTTTTATAAAAATGCAAAAAAAAAAATATTTTTTATTGAAATATGTTATTCTAAATATTTTTTAGTATGAACCGATTTTTGATTCCTCATGGAGTTATCACTATTTGCAACAAATGACGTTGTATGAATGTCAGGGGAATAGTGTAGATCTAGAACAACTATCACGTGGTGCCGGACAAATGTGTTTGGGTGTTAAAAGTTTGCACGTGGCATGCAATGCTATTGTTGCCTCATGGACAAGGGGTTCAGAGGTAATTTTAATACATAAAAGCGCATGGTTTTTGGCATTTTCAATCATTGTTTTATCTGTTTTAGGGATTCGTATTTCCACCAGAGGCTGGATTTCCTTTGGAATCTAAACATAATAAATACTATATGATGGAAACCCATTACAGCAATCTAAATGCCGAATTTGAGCCATACCAAGCACGTCGTATGACCGATAGTTCAGGTTTGAAAATTATATTCACTCCGGATTTGAGACCGCATGATGCAGGTGTACTATCAATTGGTAAGTATGTTTGTATATGAATACGAACACACAATGTGTGCATTTTCAAAAATGCAAAACAGTAAAACAACTTGCAGATAAACAGAACATTTATCCTGTGTGGTCAATCAAATTAGAGTTTTCACTAATTATGCCTTTCGTTCGTTTTGTTTTCCTTTGTTTGCTTTTCATACGCGTAATTAAGGTATGGATCCCAATTGGCGTCATATCATTCCACCAGGTCAGGAGCGTGTTATTTCGCAGGGTCACTGCATGGAAGATTGTACTGGATCGGCTTTCCCGCCCCAGGGCATAAATATTTTTGCAGTAATGATGCGCACTCATCAAATTGGCAAGGAAGTCAAATTACGTCAGGTAAGAACCCCTAAAACAAACTCAAAAAATTAATTTACACACACAATAGGAATAGTTGTTTACTAGCCTGAAGTTAAACTTAATTTGTGAATACAATGTTTTAAAACATACAAAATTTTTGTGCATATTTTATGTAGTATTGCCACATTCATGTAAATTTTAAATTTGGTTGTTAAAATATTTTTCAGTAAACTAAAAATTTCGGCTAAAACGGCTTAAATGAATATAATAAGATTGTATTAATTAAACTTCCAATCCGATTTAGTAGCTGATTTTCAACCGAAGGTCCAATAAACAATGTTACATTTTTGTACTGTAATGTTTCTTTTCATTGCACTTGTTTTTGGTTTTCCGTCAATAGTATGTCGGTTTGACAAATTTCCACATAATGTCTGTATGTCCGTTGTGACAAATGAGTTTGTTGTTATACATTACCATTTCTTTGTACTATTTAAGCCTTTATAGCTTTTAGACACATGTACATAGTATGGCCTCTCGCAAGAATGTTGAAGGTGGTCTTATCAAAGCCCTCCAAAAGTGCCTTCGACCATAATTACCTCAATTTGCAGGCAGTCGGCAATTTTGGTACTTTTATATATGTATATACATACATATTTACGTATACATATATTGTACAGGGTGGCAGGCTAATGCAGTAATGGTTTGTGGTGGCAATGATGTTTGTGGCTTTCGAGCTTCAATGTCGTTGCTTTGTTTGGTTAATATGTTGACTACATAAGTTGGTTTGTTTAATGTTGTTAAATCGATTTGGCGTTTAAATTATTAATTGACTAAAGTCTAATGTGAACACAAAATTTTCTTTCAATGGCATTTGCAGATTCGACAAAGTGAAGAACTCTTTCCCATTGCTCACGACAGCAACGTAGATTCAAGCTATCAAGACTTTCGCCGTCTTTCTCATCCTGTGCGCTCATTGCCTGGCGATAGATTGGTTGCGGAGTGCATTTATGATAGTTCGTCACGAAAGGCAATTACACTAGGTAAGTGTTTCTCTTTAGTAAAAACTCAAACTAAAAACAAAATAAAATAAAAACGAAACTAAACAACAACAACAACAACAACATCATCGGAAGAATGTGAATGAAATTGTGTTTAAACTGTACAAGGTACATAATGTATAAATTCTAAATTATATTGCCGAGATATACATACATATGTATGTACAATATACATATGTATAAATGCATGTTTTTGCCGGTACTAAATTGGCCAAGTTAAATGTATGAACACACAGGCAAAGGTACACACATTCCATTCACAGTCTAACACAATTTGCCAAAAGGTGTTGTTAAACGTGTTCGCTCAATTTAAGTAATTACGATCATTATCCTGACATCATTTCTTCTTTTTTAACTATAAGTATTATTTCTTTTTTTACTTTGTGTTTTCTGCAACTCAGGTGGACTTACTATGAAAGAGGAATCGTGCACAGTGTTAACTCTGTATTATCCTCGCCAAAAGAGCCTGACAACATGCCATTCACTGCCGAGTTTACCAACTGTATTGCATTCTCTGGGCATTGAACAGTTGGCCATGTAAGTTATTCCCCATCTCTGGCTACTTCTATTTAGCTAATGCATGAAACAATGTTAAATTATTTAATGATTCTCAATGTAATTATATTTAAAATTTCTATTTTTTTCTGTTTCTGATCGACAGGAATTCCAATCCAGTTGTTATAGAGTCACCACCTGAATTAGCCGGTATGACATTAGAGACTCGTCTCTTGTCATACGATTGGGAAAATCAATTTGACAAATTTCAGGAAGCAACTTTGCTTGGAACTTTTAAGCCAATTTGTAGTGGAGCTCATAATCAAATTTTACCAGTAAGTACCTACATTGTTTTGAAAAATAATTGAGTGTATATTTCAACTGACATTTAATCATAAATAGAAAACATAAAAAATACTAATTTTGTACTTAAAAATTAGAAATTTCCATTCCATTTTAAACCACCCTAATGTACATTTATGTTAAAAAAGAAAAAATATTAATCCACTAATACATACATAAATATGTTTGCGTATATCTAATGCATGATTTCCTTTTTCTTTTCCTTTTGTTTTTTTATTCTTGTAGATATCTGAACACTTGATAGGCTACAATAAGAATATTAGCAAGACGTACAAGGAACCAAGACGATGTAAACCAAAGCGGCTATTTGTCACCGAAACGATTCCTCAACTCGAATTACCTGTTTTGCGCGATTTTGAAAATAATCACATTAGCGAAGCATCAGTACGCAGCAGCCGCAGTTCGTTCATTGAAACGTTAGCGTTAAGTGGTTCTGAGTCTTCATCTTCCAGACAACATGTTAACTGGCACAGTATACATTTGGCATGTCTGTTCTCACTGACGATTTTATGGTTCGCCAGATGAAACAATCACAATCACTGCAACTATTAAATATAAATTTTTGTTCGATTTTCTTTTAATTTTTGTTCGATCGTTAGCTCGTTCGTTTAATCAAACGTAAACTTAATAAGCAATATTTTGACAATGACTGTTAAAAGCAATCGCCGCATCACAAACCTACTATAATATTACTTATATGCATATAATGTAACTCTCAAAAACCTACTCAGTCCCTACTTCCCCCTCCTTTCTCTCTCTTAGAGTCTAAGTCTCAGATAGATTTAAAATCACCGATAAGCAATAGATGTGTGCCGAGAAGTGTTTGTAGTTGTTTTTGTTTTATTTTATTTAGTTGGAAATTAGGTATAGAAGCATGAATGCAGAAGAGTTAGGAATACTGAGAGTGAAAGAGAAGGGAGATGTTGGTAAGGAGGAAACTATAATGATAATCATATTGATAATAGGAGTACTAACCATATTGTAGAGATGGCTAGTACTACATACACATGTGTGTTGTAGTGATAAATTGAATTATACGAAATAAAAAAAATAATAATATTTATGTTGTAGACTCTATATTGATGTTGTGCATGTCCATACATACGTGTTTTAAGCAATAAATGTTGTATTTTAGAGATTATTAAATATATATAAAAAAGTAGTAGTTAGACTTAGTAAGACGATGAGAAAAAATAATAATAATAAGAAGAAACAAACACACAAAACAAAATATGTAGTTGGAGTTAGTTAAAAAGAAACGCAGGATGAAATTATGAATGTTTTTGTTTGTTTTTATTTGAGAAGAAGCAAGTTGGTCTACCAAAGCACTGAAGCTGTTAAAGTATAAGATTTTGACGCCAGTTTGAGCTGTGATATTTTTAAGCAACACTTTTCTTAAGTGCGATAAGTGTACAAAATATAAAATTAAAATATAAAGTAATTATAAAAAACTGAAGCAAATAACTTAATTTCATACAATACTATACATTGTAGTCTTCGATATTATGTAGTTTGTAAATCTATCTATATATTGTATAAATTAAATGTGAAATAAAAGAAAAACAAAAAATCAATAAAAATATTTAAAATGTTTTTCTTAATTGTGGGAGGTAATTTCCGAGGTAAAGTAAAATTCCATTCTTTCCCCATTAGTTGAAGTTTCCAGATACAGAAATGAAAGATAATTAAAGGTCAATTGTAAGTAATGGAATCAAAATTATGATAAAAAAACAACAAATAACCTTCTTGCTAACGATATCAAAACAATATCACCTGATTAAAAGTGATAGTCGTGTAAAATGACATGAAATAACTTCCAATAAAATAAGAAAATTTAATGATTACCAACGAAATAAAACTAAAAAGTTTAAGAGTGAAAATTACACAATTTAAATGAAATAATACGCAATTAAATATATTATGTAATTTTCAATATTTGAGTTACATTTTATTATGAAATACATATGTAAATAAATCGCCTAATATTAAAATTTAGCTAAATTTGATCAAGTCCATATGGACCATATGGAGATATTGTCAATTATTTACTGATCCCAACAAAAATTTCGGATTTTATCCGAATATCCTTAAATATTAATGATATATATGGGATAAAGTGGCATAACAAAGTGGATCTTATATTTTCAGAATGATTTCCATTTATATACATAAACTATACTAATGTAAATGTTTATACCCACCATCAGAAAATATTTGGGGTATATTGATTTTGTCATTCCGTTTGTAACACATATAAATATCGCTCACAAGCCCCATAAAGTATATACATATATTCTGGGTCTTTGTAAAATTCAAAGCCGATCTAGACATGTCCGTCTGTTGAAGGCACGATAGAGCCCAGAGGAATGGACCTCGGAAGATGAAAATTTCCCAAAATATTCTACATTGATCAGAAATGTTTGGTATTGAAAATGGGTAATATCGGTCTACGCCTTCACATAGCCCCTATATAAGTGACCCCTGGAATATTGTTTAAATCGTCATAAAATTATTAATTTGTCAGTAAATGTGTTGAAATTTCTCACAAGTTAGTTTTATGTACCCAGAAACTATTCTTTAAAGTATGGCTGACATTTCCCTACAACTGACCCTACCACCCATAGAAGCCCCCTTCAGAAAATGACTTTAACGCAACTTTAGCAATGAAAATCGACGGAACAAGTTTTATAGAAGCATAAATCTTTCTATTTCATTTGATGAGGATCGGACCATATTTGATTCTTTCCCCCATATAATAAGGTCCCCTTCAGAAATTGACTTTAATTCTCATTATGCCTTAAAAAACGAGTACAGCGATAAAATTCGACATCAACAAGTTTTGTATGAACCAAAGTCTCTCTACAACATTTTACGAGGACCGGTTCATAATTGACCCTACCCTACATATAAGGTCCCCTTCAAAAAATTGGCTTATGAATACCAATATAGACTATAAAACTCGATATGAAGTTTTATGGGAACTAAAATCTACCTTCTAAATTTTATAAGAATCGGTCCATAATTGATCCTTGAACATAACTGATCCTAGGGCAAAAAAATAACGTATGACAGAATTCATCGAATTATCTTCGAAAGTTTTTGGGAATGACAAACTGATGGTAGTGGAGGGTATAAAAATAATAAGTTTGGTAGCTTTCAACCGATTTCTGAATTTGATATTGTGGCTGACTTCCAAAACGTACTAATACAAAGTTTAAACCCAATTTCACTGCGGAATTTAAATATTGTACACATGTAAAGTTTCAAAACATTTCAACCAACAAACCAACTACCAAAGCTTTTAGTGGGAAAGGTATATTGGATTTGTTCTGATGTTTATAACGCATAGTATTAATGGTCCTATACCTACCTTTAAGTATACCAATCGGCTCCGAATCATTTTCTGAGTCCATTAAGACTCCGTTTTGTCTGTATGTCCATGTAAACCTTGTAATCAAACTACAGGTCGCAATATGTCGTAATGAGCGGCACTTATTTAACCCTAGCCCCATTGCAAAGTCCACCTCCAATGATTGAACGTCATTTATTCACTTATAAACAAGTGTATTTCAATGAAATTCGGCATAATTAATTTATACACATTTTAGATATACACATAACTGGTGTAGGATACCATATGGTCGGTCACGCCCGACTATACTTTTTTACTTGTTTAAAGTAAAATCTTAAAAAATATACATTTCAAATGTAACGCTTGTTAAATCTACTTATAATTTTGAATCCTATAATATTTTTGAAGCACGTTATGAGCGCATTACACATTTTATAAAGGGGACCTTATTTAGGTCTTGAACCTAATATAGTTCGATTCCTATGAAATTTTCTAGATTAGAGAGTAAGTATTTTCAAGGTAGTTAGGGGCATTAAATTAATTTTTTGAAGATGACTTTATTTGGGGAATATGATCAAATATAGCTCGATGTCCGCTATACTTTGCTTTTTAATTCAATCTCATCACGTTAGGGCCTTTTAAGACACTTATGAGTGTTAAAGTAATTTCTGAAAGGAACCTTATATGGGAGCTAGGATCAAATATAGCTCGATGCTCGCCATAGTTTACTTTTCAAAATCCCACCATGATTATTGCCTAACCAACATATTTACATACATATGTCTGTTTAAACTATTTTACGGTGACACTTTTTTGGGGGTTATCAGAATCGTTGGAACCGACACTTATTTAATATTATACAATTCATAACTAGGACACAACAAAACATTTTTCTTAAATTATATCAAATTATCTATATAATAGAACTTTTCCATCTCTCATTTAAAAGTTTTGACATTTTTGTTAACTATATATTATTTTTTCCCATTTTTTGTTTAAGTGCGTTGTTCAGTGTTTAGTTCAAATCCGCAAAATAAATCAAGCTGTTTGAGTTATCTATCGTCAAGTGGTAAAAGGACACAATGTTGGATTTTCTTTATTAAATTTTAATTATGAAATATGTATAAAACAGAATAAACTTCCATCAATTTTTATTTGGTTACGTGTTTAAGTTGTTACGTTGTTGACCTTTGTCGCGTGTTTTTTAATAGAACAATTTATCTAGCATGTAAAATTGTTTGGCTACTGTATATTTTTTCATGTGGGAGGTGGAGGTTCAACTTGATGTATATTTATTGTGTACTGTGAATTTATTTAAATCCTCACGCACACTTCTGCCAAAGGACAATTAAAAATAACTAAATTCAACTTACATACATACATAACACTTTTAAATGAGTCAATTCTGGTGGACAATGTTTTATTCAGTTTCCACTTTCAAAAAAGTACATATCTACGTATGTATGTAAGTATATGAATATATGTACATAAGTATTTTGATGTAAAATTTATTTAGCTGACGAGGTGTTAATGGAAAACATATTTAAATGAGTTCCGAAATTGTGAGAAATATGCAAGCAATTTATGATGCAGAATGTCGCCGGAACACGTGTCATACGGATGAGACGCGTGTTTGTCGTTGCCATACGCCACCATTTGTTGTGCAGTATTTGTTTAATGATGTGGGCGTGTGCAGTAAAAATGTTGTGTGTACGTTAGTTATTATATTAGAAAAATTGGACATTTAAGGGATGCTTAAAATAGGCGTGAAAACTAAATTAAACTAATTTGTGTTGAATACCACAGATGAGTTCAGTATTTAAATGCGTAAAATCATAAACGGGCACTTTGCTGGCAAAGGTTGTATACATTTTGTATGTGCATATCTATGTGTATACTGGTGTATGAACAGAATCAGTTTGATATTCAATTTATACATCATACTGATTTGTTTATTTACACGTGTTTATATGTACATAAATACACATGTATGTATGTAGTTATACATTCCTATTCATATTCATTCTCGTATGTATGTAAATTATACAATGTTTGTTTCTCAAATGTTGACTATATCGGAAATATTTATTCTTTCGTCCCGTTGTGATAATATAAAATAATATGGCATTTCCTTTATTGTAATGAATAATATGTATGTACATATTTAGTATGT